CAGCCCAGCCGGAACTAGCAGCTAATCCCAGCTCAGGGTAGGAGCCACTGGCTCGGGTATTCTCAGCCCGTGGTGATTTACCTCTGCCGGCTGCTCCGGGTGCCTGAAACGATGTATCTGCGCTGCTAGGGAGTGGTTTGTGACTGCTCTCGCAGCTTCCTGGTCAGAAAGTCATTTTTCCCTGGGGTGGAAGCAAAGAAATCTGTGGCGGGTATGAATTCTGTGCATTCGCAGTGGCGCAGAATTCCCCCAGGAGTATCAATATTATGGCACGAGCATTTAACATAAATGTCTCCAAAGGTAACAAGAATTGGAGTTTTGCTGTTTAGTGTTCTATGCATTTCTTGGGTGTTTGTATTTTTGTTAATTTAGTTTTACCCAAATAAGTGATTTGGCTGCTTTCAACTTTTGAGATATCATAGAAGAAGAACAGTACTTCTGTAGATTATCAAATATACTGAAATAGGATTGTTCATTTTCTTCTGCTCAAATTCGCAGCTGTTTAAGGCTTTGCTGTGTATGTTTTAAACTTAGAAATATTGATTGTAAAACAAATTGAAAAGAGTGCTTGGATAAGGCTTTCTTGAAATAGCCCGTTTTAATGCAGATTTATACCTTTTTATTTTTAATAATTAAAGGTGCATTCAAATGTTAAATCTATTGTGTTATTTACCCAAACAATACAAATAACAATAGTGTGTGAGAATCAAATAGCCCCGAATCTTGTCTCCAGACTGAGCAGCTGTGTTGAGGGAAGAAATCTTCCTCTTGTCCCAAGACTCAGAGCAGCAGCATCCTCTACACTATTGTCTTCCCGTCCAGCCTTCGGGCTCCAGTCGCTTCCACAGCACTTGTGCCCCTCTACACAAGGGGAATGACTGGTGATTCTATGTAGTGGTAGTTCTCCTTCGAGTGCTTGCTCATGTCCATTCCATATTAGGTGTGTGCGCTTGCCAAGTGCACCGGTGCCGGAAGTTTTTCCCTCAGCAGTATCCGTAGGGGACCGGCTCTGTCGCCCTCTGGAGTGGCGCCCACATGGCGTGGTATAAGGGGCGCCGCCAGCTCCCCCCACCCTCAGTTCCTTCTTGCCGCCAGTAACAGCCCCGGGCCCGAGGCTTTGAGCCCTGCGATCTCTGCAAACGGCCTATGCCCGTCAGCGATCCACATACCAGCTGCCTAAGTGCTTAGGCGAAGGGCACATAAGTGACAAGCGCCGTATCTGCAAGTCCTTTAAAGCTAGGACGAAGAAGGAGCGTGGTATCCATCGGAAAGCGCTCCTTATGGAGTCGGCATTCACTCTGGCACTGGAGCAGCGGTCCCACTCCACACCGAGCACCATGGCCTCCGTGCATAGTACTCCGCCAGCACCGGTCCCCCTCCATGGCTCCGGTCAAGAAGCCAAAAAAGACTGTCAGGGGAAGATCTCCCACCTCCCGTAAGGGAAAGGAGAGGCCAGGGGTGAGCCACGACCCATGCCAGGCAGCTCAACAACCCCCTCAGGAAGTTGGGCTCCAGCTCAGGTCAAACGGTGCAGCCCATCCCACACTTCGCCTGCAACTCCAGATAGCGGTGCAGGCCACAGCCAGCTTCAGGTGCCGTCGACACCCAAAGCCCTCCAAGCAGCTCAGGAGATCCTGACGCTTCTGGTGCCACCCACACCGGCTCCAGCAGTACCCCAGTCTTGGGGAAAACCAGCGCTGGGACCTATGCATGTGTCCCTGCCTCAGCAGCACCATTCCCCATCGAGAGGGACGTCCCGCCATTGCTCGCCTGCTCGAAGGACTAGAGAGGCAGGCTCAGCAGAGCCCTCTTCATTTGCCGCACAGAGGGCACCAGTCGAGGGACTCGAGACGTACCTCGCAGGTAGATTGAAGCAGACCCTCTGAGGCACGCACCACCCAGCAAGAACTTCCAGGCCAGCCCCAACTCTCTCCGAGGGCCCGGTACTAATCAGAGGACTGATTGAGGATCAGAGATCGCAGATCACTGGGCCGTCATCGCCCGTCTCCTAGGAGTAGGTCACCCTACTCGGGAAGATCCTCCTGGCAACTGGGCCGTATTAGCTCCCGCTCCCATTCTATGTCCCGGTACTGGTCGAGTAGTGTGAGGCGTGGATCGCTGGATCTCCGATGCAGATCGGTCCCCAAGATCCCGACCAAGACGCCCGTCTCGCTTGGACAGGTCGGCTTCGGGACGCAGTGACCAGCACCGGTCGGACAAGAGCCACCACTCCACCTGATCCTGGTCACCCAGTACCGACTGCTCCGTTTATATCTCCGGCATGGAGCGAGGCTCCCTGACTGTGGGACAAGCCCAGGTACCTGCGGTGCCACCTACATCATGAGCACCAAAACCTGTCCTATGGCTCCAGGTGCTGTGGCCGGCGACATGGTACCCAGGGAACCCTTGGGGGTTCACCCAACCCTCCCAGCCCTCCCGGTTGGTGTCAATAGCCTCAGAGAAGCCAGTGGCCTTGGTATCTCGTCCCCCTCCAGTGCTCAAGGCTTCGGTGGGTAAGACCCCACAGGTCCAGGAGGACACAAGGGAGCAAGCTGCTGGACCACCAAGGGAAATAGAGGTCCCTGTGGCACGTGCATTATCCTCGTAATTGCCAGATGAGGCTATTATGGAGCCCCCTCACCCAGTTCCTCAGGATGACACCAAAGCGCACCAGGAACTTTTGAAAAGGGTCACGTCCAACCTGGGGCTTCTCCTACCCTCCTCCAGGGGTACTGCTTTGGAATCACCTAATATGAAAGTGACATGAGCAAGCACTCAAAGAAGAAAAGACAGTTACCGTTTCCATAACTGGGGTTTTTTGAGATGTGTTGCTCTTGTCCATTCCATGACCCGCCCTCCTTCCCCACTGTCGGAGTTTCCAGCAAGAAGGAACTGAGGGTTTGGGGAGCTGGCAGCACCCCTTATAT